GGACTTTTCAAAAAAAAAAAAAATTTTTTAATGTCAATGTGCTCATGATTCTTGGAAGAAGTTTTAGCAGGTTTTCTAACACACACAAAAATATGTTCATCGGTTATGGCATAGCTATTCAATAGCACAAAAGTTCTAAAAAATTCCACTGTTTTGTGGAGTTCCCCAGGGTTCTGATCTCGGTCTATTATTATAAATTCTGTACACACTGCCGTTTTGTTTGTTTTGGTGAGTGTTTTTCGGGGCTCGCAACTCCATAAGGGAATCATGAGTATGCGGGACACATTAAACATTTTTAGTTTGGTAGGAACTAATTTTGAATTTTGCCCGGATGGCGGCCAAAGCCTACTCTTATCGATTTTGGAACCACCGAGGGATCTTTAACGTGCACAACTTGCAAACGGGACCTCCGAGGTTTTTTCGCTCTTATCCGAGAACACTAGGTGTTAGATCTTACCTACCATAAGATCAGGGGTGTGGCTGAAATACAGAGCAGTAAGAAGGAGCAGCTAGCAGTAAAAAGGCTGCAGAAAGAGGGCGCCACAGAATTTTGAGGACATTTTTTAAATTGGCTCAAAGAGAGGAGTGGCCCCTCTTTTTATGTAGACTCTTTGAAGTAGCTGAAGGTACTATTTATATATATATTATTTAAATGTAGGAACGCTAAATAAACACGCTCACAAACAGGTCAGAAAAATAACCCCCAAAAAATTAACACACCAAAGAGGGAAACATAAAAGACAAACAGCAATATAATAAATAGTATCTAATGTACTTATTATTATTCTTCGCGTGAAAATAACTATATACATGGACTCCTTAAAATTATCAAAATACTCGTCTATGTTATGAAGTAGCCTTTTCTTTTTGAAAAATGCCAAAAATCGCGGTCGCGGCGGCGACAAACGCAGATGCTAGCTTAGACAGGTGTTCGCTGTATACAGCGCCATTATATAGTCATACGTTAAATTAAGACGTAAGGGGCAAAATGAGAAGTGTCCTACTGGTGATTATCTCATACAAGTGGTCATTTCAGAGCAGGTTCTGATGTAGAAACAGGGGGAACTATTTAATTTTGTTATGTCCCTTGATTCTGTGGTCCCCACGATCACGTTGTACTACGAATGAGCTGGTCTTTTGTCCACTCCCCGACGGTATCAACTCATTCATGATCAGCTTATCTCTCTCTCTCTCTTTCTCTTTCTCTCTCTCT